GTTCATCATGTGCACATTCCAGATACGACTTCGGTGATCAGGATGGTGAAGACAATCACGGACATGATGTTGGAAAAATACCCAGTTGATTGCGCATTGAAGACAATGTCAACCTCATCACTGGTAGTTGTCTCCTGTGAGGCAGAGACCATGCTTGCATCATCGAAAGATCTAATTGGGTTTTCAGAACTTCAATCGGATAGCGCATGGACGGCTTGGCTTTTCCACAAACTACCGATGCTCTGAACTTTCGGGATTGAGAGCTTGAAGCCATTTAACTTAGCAACAAAAAAGACACCAAGAGCAACCAAGCAACTGCTAAACAACGCTAAGAAGAAGCAGCGACGCAGAGACAAACCGGTTCAGCAGCAAGACGTTGCAGACGGGTCAAGTAGCGGAGTGCAGTGCGCCACCGTGGATGGTCCGCGAAGCCCCGCTGAGAGTGACATGTGGCCAGATCTTATCCTGGAGAGCTTGGAGCGGCAGGGTCTGCTGGGAAATTTTGCGGATGCTGTCACTCAAGGCATTCATTTTTCCAGTGACTACAGCGGCATAGGAACAGCGGAGGAAGCTGCCAGATGCTTGTGCCTTGCTGCAGAAGCTGCAACCCAGCGGCTGTGTGGAAAGCTGCCATACTTGTATGTTCAACGCTCCGGGGACAAGGAAGCGGAATGTCGCACTGTACTTCTGGCATCTAGCCGCGAAGGAGGCCTTGGAGCCCCGAAGTGTGTCTTTGGCGACATAGGGGAGCGATGCAACAAAGACATTTGGAACAAAGTAGCGGAAGAAATCGACCGCATCCACAACAGCGAGGTGTTGCAGACCGGCATCGATCCTATTGCTTTTGCCAAGGAGACATTGGAGAGGGTCATGAAGCAAGACTTGTCAAAGGTGACCAGTTTTTGCTACAAGCACGGTGGCCAATGCCCTGTGTACCCTGTTTCCTTGCAAAGCGACGATCAAGATTCTGGTCCAGCGGCGTCGGCATGCAAAGAAGAAGCAGGCTGCGAAGGGACAAGCAATCAAGCGGGAAGCCCCGCTTTGAAACTACACGTAGCAGGCTTCAATTGCTACGATTGGTCGTCAATGGGCAGCCACAGGGGATGGTTCGGACCATCCACATTGCCATTTGTTCAATGGCTATCGGAGAGATTGCAATTTGAAGAAGATATCGTGGTAGGTGAAAACACGTTGAATTTCGATGTAGCAACGCTAGAGGAAATGACTGCGCATCAGTTCAATCTAGAATGTTTGAATGTCAGCCCAACTCTGATGGGTGAGCCTGTGGAGCGGCGGCGGCTTTACATTTGCATGCTCCGCAAAGGTAAGCGGCGGTGGAGACATGAACTGCTGCGTCAGGGCTTGGGGGAAACATGGCAAGAAGTTTTCGAAGCAGTCTTTCAACGAAACATCGTCATGACTGCAGCCGACAAGTTTCGGGCCCCGGCTTTGGGTGTGAAGAACTATATAGCCAAACTTGCTGAGCAGCAACACCTTCCCGAGAACACCCGAAGCGGCAAGGACTGGTCTTGCTTCCAAGCGGTCAGCAGAGCTGTTCGAAACAAGATCCAAGCCCACCAAGAAGAACTAGAGCGGAAGTTACTTTCTACTGACCTTGACTCTGGCTTGGCAGCGACGGCGGATGATCCTTTGGAGCTGCGGCACTGGACATCAAACGTCGCACAGCAGCCCCATTTCATGGGCCCGGTGCGCGGAAATGTTCCCGCCATGCTGCAGCATACAAACCTTTGGATTTTTGGCAAGCGGCGCCTAGCGCTGCCCATGGAGCACTTAGAGATCCAGGGCTGGAACATATATGGAAATTTCGACAACCCATATCGGTCAAACATCTTCGAAGTTGTCAGCAGCATGCGGGATTCCCGCCTAAAATCCTTCGCAGGAAACGGAATGCACTGCCAAGTGGTTGGTGCTGTCACTGCTTTTCTATTGGCTGCAACAGAAGATGTTACAGCATGAAAGAGAAGCAGCCCGACTTAGAGCACTGTGAGCAGCGGATCATCCACCGCAGTCCAGCATGTGAGCGCATCATGCACAGAAGATCAGATCAGGACCGGGAAGCCCACCGTATGGCTTGGTGCAGTGTCTCGCTTTTCATTTCTGCGTTGATGGTGTTTTTGTTCCTCTGTTTGGTTACACCGCCCATCTGGCTACAGAATTCTATTGTCTTTTCTCCACAAAACGCATGGAAAGATTTGGATAAGGTGCGCTGCACTGTGCAAGTCCCCGTTTCATCATCAGAACAAATTTGTTTCTGTCTGTAGGCGGTATGTTTCATGGCTTAATATCAGGGGGTTATCTAATTGATTTGTTTGCAACTTGGTAGTGTCGTATCCCACATTTGTTTTGATTTGCCCGTTTGTTCCAGAAATAGCAGAAGCAACAGCAATGTTAATTCTTGTACAGGTGTTATCGTTGTTGCCTTCAATTCTTCCAACGCAGTTTTCGTGAACATGAGCCAAATTCACCTTACACACTTTTATCTTGTGCGAAGTGCTTTTGCAAACCTGAGGCTTTGCCGCTGGCGACATCCTATCGCCTCAGCAGACTCTGGCACAGCAAGCAAAAAGGCGAATGCCAGTGGACGGAACTGAACCTAAAGAAATCATTTTTTGGAACAGCAATTGCTTGCAGCCACGCCACCTAGCTGGACAGCCCGACGCTCACACATGGTAACAGCAAGAAAGTTGAGCCAGCTTACAAGTTTCAATTCATTAGAACAAATTCGCATCCAAGTTTCTTCGTTGTGTTCCCATGCTTCCACGGGCGCACGGCCCTCATACAAAGTGTGGCTCCCAAGTTGAATGCTTCAAAACACAAGGCAAAACACAACAGCTTGCCATGCATGTATGAGGTTGCAGCATTGCAGTTTAAAGCTAACATATTTGTATATATATATATATAACTGATCAAGAAATAGCACCAACAACGGGTTGCAACGAAAAACTTGCAGCCAGTGGCATTTGGCATACGCATGTTCTGTTTGAACAAAGCATTTCCAGTGAAGCACACGTTGCCGCCCAGCTTGCTGCAAGTGCGCAACTTGCAGTTGCAATGTCGCCGGAGATGCGAGCCACAATTGACTTCTTAGAAGCGGTGAAACATGAACGCCTTTGCTTATCTTGTTGGCTGGATGTGTTGAAAGAATCAAAATATTTGACTGAGTGCCTTGGCCTAATTCCTGCTCTGAGGGTTTCCGATCATCCCCCCTTTTGCAAACTGTTTTCGGTGTTGTCTACTTGCTTCCAACGATAGTGATGATCCTCTGTGCAATACTGTACCAGCCCAGCCTAGCATTGCAAAGCAACTTCCGACATGTATGTCGCTTTTTCACCCTTTTTCTGATATATCGGGTCGACTCTCACTCACGTCCTGCCTGTATGCCTAGGCAGGAGTATGCCACAGCATCCTGCATCTCCAAAGATTGCCAGTGCGACTTCATCAGTATTTCTGAAGCTGCGGCTGCCGACGCCGCCACTGCAGTTGCTGCGGCAGCCACTGACCGTGATTATGTGTCAATCCCATGTGGGTTTGAAAGCAATGGCAATGGCTGTGAGTCACCGTGAGCCTGACTTCGCGCCAGCATCTGCAGACACACAGGCCCAGCAGCGGGGCGGGATGCCCCGCAGTAGCAGCCGCAAAAGTTGAGGGGGGTAGCTATCCACCCAGGGCACAAACAAAGAGTGGTGCATTTTTTGCAGTTCTCCTTTTCTGGAAACTGGGTCAGCCAGCTGCAAGATAGCATGTGTAACATAGCTGCTGTGTTTTGCTTTTGGATTGCGTCTGCAAAGACGCGGAGCGGGTAGCTGCGCACAAGCGGCGCATAGCTGCACAGAAGCATGCGCAGCCCAATTCAAGATTTGCATGTTAGCAGTTCAACAACGTGCTGAAAGCGTTTTGCCCCCGCGTAATGATTTGGAGCGGTGAGCTGCAGCATGTTTTGAATACTGAGCCCTGGCTCCAAGTCCAACCACGAACGGAGAGAAAGAAAAAAGTTTAACTGTTTCAACTGTCTGAAAAGCAGGTGAACTTGACTCTTGTGCATTCCATGGTTATGGTTGCGTAGCTCTGAAATATTTTGAAAAGGTATCTGAGCCGGAACCTGGCTAGGCCCTCCAAGATCTCTGAGTGTATGAGTGCAACACCTTATTTGTTTATCGCATGGGAAAACATAGAAGGAATCAGACCCACAGTCTACAGAACCGCCCTAACGCGACCTCCTACATTAAAAACAATTCTGAAATCACACGCGCAGGCAAAGCTTTACTGTAAATAGTTTTGACAAACTGTCGAACACAGCTTACACATCCAGAATCAGTAAGGTTATGGACGGCCCCCCAGGCCCAGCAGATCTGCGGAGTCATGGCGGCGACAGCAAGCCAGATGCCAACAACCAACCTTGCGAAAGGGTTTACCAGGCCTAGGCTACAAACAATCAAATATTTGAAGCCAGTCCGCATCGCATCACCCATCAGCCCACAGCATTGGTTCTATGAGTTTTCAGCGCAGTGCACGCCCATCTTGGCAGCGCAGGACACAATGACACAGCATGCCCAGTAATTGAACATGAATGCTTGGCTCGTCCGCTGTGTGTTTGGCGGGCATTGCCTTAGCTGTTGCCATGTTAGCTATTGCCATGGTCATGGCATCGATGGATTGAAAGTTGAATTGCATTCTGCCATGTCCTATGTTTGCATTTTGGCTTCAGAAGACAGTGTCACGAGAACGGGCCTGGTCCAGGTGAAGTCAACGGGGTTATTTTCTGTCAATTCGATTCATGTAGGCACAGTCGAACATTTGCACCCACCCATTAATATGTTTGCAACATGTCTTGGTCGCAAAGCCCAAAGCTGTCATCACACAGAAACACATAGTCTCAGTCTGAGATACAGCAATAAAGCACACAGCTTTCATTCTGGGTTTGCTGACACCAACCGGTTGCAGCTTCCGCCAACAAAATGGACGTGGACAGTGATGCCGCGATGGCGATGGGATTGCAGCTGGAATCTGGTGAGCCAGCAGGTCTTGTCCTAAAGAGCGCGGAAGCACCACCGCCGCCGCCGAGGTCTGAGGAGCCGCCTGTGAAAAAAAGAAAAAGCAAGAAAGAGACAACCCCTGCAGCGGCAAGCGAGGCACAAGCCGCAGACGAGATCAAGAAGTGCACTGGTTTCTGTGGGAAAAAAAGGCACCTTCAGAGTTCAACAAAGATCAAGCTAAATGCAGGGACTGCAGTAATCACGAGCGGGCCTTTTGGAGGCACGCAGACAAACAGGAATGCAAAAAAGAGATGTCTGAGTTGCAAAAATCAGACCCGCAGATGCACAAGGATATCGTCAGGGGCTTTGTCAGAGAGCGCATCAAATGCGGGCAGGAGGAAAAGAAGATGAAGTTCAGCATCAGCACCTTCAAGAAATCGTTGCAGAGCAGGAGAGCGGCGACCGCTGCGAGAACCAACGGCAGATGATGTGGCATGGCCACTGGTTAGAAGAGGCAAAGACCGCAAAGCACGGGTACCTGACGCCAGAGGAAGCGCAGTCGAAGTGGGATGCATGGCTAGCGGGCGAAACCGTGTTTAAGGACAACAACGGTCCGCGAGGATTCAGAAGAGTAGCGGTCCCAGACCGCACCGTGCTTGCGGATTTCCACGAGATCACGCACCAAAAGGAGTTGACCCAGACAGAGCGGCTATCCCGCACAGCTACTGCAGAAACTTTGCAGGCCCGGGCGCGAATGGTGGTCAGTGAGAGCGCAAATCCAGAAGGAGAAACGGTGGGTGGTGTCAGTGTTGCCGAGTTGCGAACGCAAGCGCATGTGACAGGCGTGGATATGGATGCCATGTCAGCACCCAATCTGAGATATGCGGCGGAGGCAGCTGCAAAGAACCGCCGTCGCGCAAGCAAAGGAGGGCAAAATGCAGCTGATGACGAAAACAAGGACGAAAATGAATCGCAAGAAAGCGGAGACAAGGAACAGGATGAGGACAAAGACAAAGCAAAAGACAAGGAGAAGAATAAATGGTTTGACGCGGAAACCAAGTGCCGCAAAGCAGAACGAAGTTGGATCAGCGGCGTCGAAAGTTTCGAAAAGACCTTGAAGGAATTGCTGCAGGAATGCTTGAATCTCTTGGGAGAATTCCGAGCCTTGGGAGCGGCAGGTGTTTCTGACTTCACCGAAGAACTTTCAATTCTTGACCGCCGCCAGCGGTGGTTACATGCCGTGTTGGAAGGGGACGAACCCCTTCAAAAAATGTTTGAGAAGCAAACTGAAGAGGAAGAGAAGGCACGAGATTCTGACTCCAAAACAACATCTGCCGATTTGGAAGCCTTAGCGCGAGCGGGCCCATGCAAGGATTACCGCGACCTCAAAAGCATCTCAGCATTGCGTCAGCTAGGATCAGACTTTCGCCTTTGCACAAGCAACCAGGCCATCAAAGACACCGCTGAGCAATGTGGACAGCAGAAGAAAACAGTTTCTACTTTGGTAGCAGCTGTCAAGGCAGCCAAAGGAGACTTGATAGCAGCCAAAAAACGCCAAGTTGCTACTCAGAAAAAAGAAGAAGAGAGAGCAGCCAAAGCGGAAAGAGCCGCAGCCAAGGCAGCGGCCACTGCCGCTGCAAGCGCGAAAAACAAGGCACGAGGAGAGGAAAGCGAAACTCAGCGGGGCGTGAGCCGCAAGAGGATATCCACACAGGCCTGCTTGTTAGACAACAATTCCGACCTGTGGCAGAACGAAGGCTTTCGTATCCAGATCTTGTCACATGGGCAGCAGTGCAACGTGCAGGAGCCTTTCATCCAAACAAGTGTGACGCTGCCGGAAGAAACGCAGACTAAGGTATCCCAGTTCGGGAAGGTCTTCTCAGGAAGCGCATTGCGGGTAACGGAGGGCCGCGCGCAAAGTGCCTTGCCGAGGAACGATGTGCTGGCCACTGCCTTGGCCGGCTACCTCCCAAAAGATTGGTGTTTGCAAGCTGCCGACGAAGCGGACTTCCCAAACGAATTGCTTCCAACAATGCGGTCCAGCAGCTTTGGGTTTGCGGCGCTTGCCGTTTCCAGCGCGAGGACAGAATTGGCCATGCTTCCTTGCGTTCGTGTCATCCAAGAGGGCTCCTTGATGGTGGCAGTGCACTGCCCACAAACGTTTGCAAAGGGAAGCATGGCAGCGGCACAAGCCTTGATGGCGCAGGGTTCGGCGGAGGAGTTGTTGAAAGCTGCCAAAGGCGGGGAGCTCCGCTTGGCAACTTTAGGCGCCGGGGATTTGCTCTACCTTCCCCCCGCTTGCATTGTGAGCCACAAAGCTCATGGAGCGGACGTATTGGGGGTCCGCGCGGAATCCACAGCCATTGGAAGTGACAGTTTGTTCATGAGGAAGTGACAGTTGAGATGTGGACATGATGTAATTATAAACATGCATGCACTTATAAACATGCATGTAATCAGAAACATGATGTCACATTTCAGTGGCAAACTAGGTAATACATCTCGCATGACTTCACACACTAATGCATGAAAATAAAACGCACATGAACACTGAACACATATATCTACACAACATTGCATCCATAGAAATGTAACATACCTTAAAACCACCAAACATCATAGTTATGGAGTCCTGGGCCTTCCCTGGAAACCTCTGACATTAGGAAACTCTTGAACTAGCAAGCAGGTTGTGTATACACACGTATATATATATATATGTGGATTTTGGAAATAAGGGAGCTGAATTTAAAAACAACTAAGTCAAACTTGAATATGTTGGTGGGTTTTGCATTTGTTTTGTGAGATACCCAGGGTAAATGGGGAATGCCAAGATGATGGGAAAATACTCTACCCTCCCCAAGGACCCCCTTACAATTTATGTTCGTATGAAAAAAGAACGATTTGCTATGCAAAAATCCTGGGTTCCAGGATTCACCCATTGCCATGTCAAGGACATGCAAAATTGCATTAAAAGCCCCCTTAGAAGCCTCATACAGTGCATTAGCAGGTTAATTTTGTTTTGGGAAACTACTTCCTGTAGCAATAGTAAAACAAATCCTGGTTTGGCAAATAGCCTCAATCAAAACTATGTTTTTCTTTTAGTCAGTGTTCATTCTCTTGTGTCCTGGACACCTCGCTTGCTCACAGGAGCCTGGATCTCAGTTTTTAAGTACTGCACAATTGGAAAAGGAATGATGCATTCAATTACGTTTTAACTCTCGTGCACTCACTTGCATTTGAAGTTCTTAATTTGCAGAATGGAGAAACTGTTTGAATAAAGTGTCCAGTCATTTCAAGAGGTTCCTTCTGTACATTTTGAGGGAAGGGGGACGGGCAGAGTCATTGCTTGAGCACAGGAGCATGGTCCTCAGTTTTGTATTGTTCAGCTTCGGGTTTTTAATCTAAAAACAATTTGTTCACCAAGAGTGCATTCAACTGTGCATGAGATCACTTTGAAGCTGTCAAGTGCTGGAATCAAGTTTTTTGTTATGAAAAAATGAAATCAACTAAATGTGATCTGTAATGTTGCAAGACGGTTTGAGGGGAGGGGATCACTTTTACTTGTGCGCAGGAGTCTGGAGCCCAGCTTTCAGTGCCTAAAGGCATTTCCTATTAAAGTTGGTTAGTCCTGGAATCCAGGACTTTCTTCATGTGAAAGTGGTGTATGAAGATTAAAAAAATCCTAGCATTTCATAAATACATTAAATATAAGTTATGTTGGGAAGAGCAAGGTTTTATTTCACCATTCTGGCATTCCCCATTTATCCCATATAGCCACCTTGGGATCTTACTACAGTCACCAAAAATGTCCAAGAGTGCATTCAATCTTGACTTAGCTCTTTTTGATTTCAGCTCCTTGAGTTCTGGTACAAAACCTGTTTGCTAATTCAAGAGTTTCCCAATGTCAGAGATTTCCAGGGAAGGTGGCAAAGAGTCTCAATGATTTTTTAAGACAGTGTTCCTTCTCAGGTGTCCTAGACCCCTTGTTGGCTCAGAGGGGCCTGGATCTCAGTCTTGCATATTTACTGACTGTTCATTTACGTTCTAACTCTCGTGCACTCACGTGCATTTGTTTTTTTTGAGTTCTGGAATTCAGGACAAAGTTTCAATAACAAGTCATTTCAAGAGGTTCCTTCTCCAAGGGCTTTTTTAAGAGGAGGGGAGTGGGCAGAATCAGTGCTTGAGCACAGGGCCCCAACTGCGCTGTGTTCAGCTTTGAGTGCCAAACTTAAAGTAAACTTGCTCACCAAGAGTGCAGTCAACTGTGCAGTGTATAACTAACTGGCATTTGCAGTTGTTGAGTTCTGGAATCATCTGGAATCCAAAAGTTCTTGTTTCTTTTGAATTCGGTTATCGCAGCCTTTGTGCGTATACCTGCATTTGTACACATCCACAATTATCTTCATAGTAGTATGTGTATGCCTTCCATGATGTATTTGTACCATAAGTACACTTACCAGGACCTATGTCCTTGGATCATATGTATACTTACCAGGACTTATGTCCTCGGATCATGCATATACTTACCAGGACCTATGTCCTTGGATCATATGTATGCTGTACTTACTAGGACCTATGTCCTTGGATCATATGTTTACTGTACTTACCAGGACCTATGTCCTTGGATCATATGTATACTGTACTTACCAGGACCTACGTCCTTGGATCATATGTATACTTACCAGGACTTTTGTCCTTGGATCATGCATACACTTACCAGGACCTACGTCCTTGGATCATATGTATACTTACCAGGACCTACGTCCTTGGATCATATGTATACTTACCGGGACCTATGTCCTTGGATCATATGTATAGTGTACTTACCAGGACCTATGTCCTTGGATCATATGTATACTGTACTTACCAGGACCTATGTCCTTGGATCATATGTATACTTACCAGGACTTATGTCCTTGGATCATATGTATACTTACCAGGACCTACGTCCTTGGATCATATGTATACTTACCAGGACTTATGCCCTTGGATCATATGTATACTTACCAGGACCTACGTCCTTGGATCATATGTATACTTACCACGACTTATATCCTTGGATCATACGTATACTTACCAGGACCTAGGTCCTTGGAAAAAACAACAGACAAACAAGCACAAGACAGACTCACACACAAACAAAAAAATATGGGGAGAAGTATGTACAGACAGGTAGAAATTGAAGTATATAGATGCTGGATACAGAAATAGGTGACTTGCAGATAGTTTGACAATAGGAATACAGACTGATGATAACTAGATGATAAAGATAGAACAATATACTGTATATATATATATATTCATATTAATGAACCGTGTTCTCAAATAGGTCAATAGACTGATAGATAAAACTATAGATAGATCAATAGATAGATCAACTGATAGATAGCCAAATCTAGATGATCCAGACAGATAGAAAAAGATAGCAAATGGGTAGATTTGCAAGAGCCAAACGGACAAACGCACATAAACAAACAAAAAAGACAACGCATGCAGAGATGCAGTGCTAGAGAGATATATATAAACCAATAATACTTATATTATCTCACCAGGACTTATGCCCTGAGGAAATATGTATATACAATCACAGTGCTCATGTGCACACAGTCTTGGACTAAGGATCACTAAGGACCACTAAGGATCTGGTGCTGCAAACAGTAGCTAGTCTGCCGTATAGGCAGTGTCCCGCACAGGGACTTTTTTTTTCTCGATCGGTCCTTGCAACAGTCTTTGCGACAGTTCGGTGCCTCAGTGGGTGCCCAATCTCATTACCTACATAAACCACATCATAAATCCCACCACATATATATATATATATGTATATATGTATATATATATGTACCCTGAGTCTCCGAAATTAGTAAATTTACTTAGGGCCTTGATTTACGCAATCCCCCCAAAAAAAAGGTGCACAAATTGATCTATTTTTTTACGACCTAAATTAACCTAAATTTCATAGTGAGCTTTTTTTGATTGAAATTCTGTTATTTTAGTATATTCACATGATGTTCTCAAGTCAGCTATGTGTCTTCATCTGACGAGTTTCTCTATAAATATTGTGCTGTTTTCAAAAAATATCACTTGTGTGTGTGTGTGCGGGTGGTTGTTCAAAAGAACAAGTGGTTTGATGTGAAGGAACAGAAGCCATCACAAGTAAATAAAGCAAAGTGACAAGCTGCAAAGTCAATCAAACTCAAAAACAATGGCATGAGTAACATCAAGAAACAAGGCTAGTTTGAGGTAAGTTGTGTTTCAACTGCAGGAGTAATAGCTCTCATCCTTTCACCTAAATCTTCCCACACAAGTGAAAAGCATTAGACCAAACATAGATGCACCAGCAACCACCATAAGCCCGCAAAGCTAGTGAATTTAGGTGCGCGCACTTATTTAAACTTTGGGACTTACTAACGTAGATTTACGTATTTTCCTTGTGTTAGTAAAATCTACGTATGTACCACAATTCACTTATGCTAGAAAAACACTTACTAACGTGTTTATGTTGGAATATTTAAAAATCAATGTAATTTCTGATGAGACACTGTGATTGTGTATATGTGTTTTGTATGCATCTGCTTTGATATTTACATGTTTTGGAAATTTGTTGTATGTATTGGATGTTGAAATTTCTTATCTTGAGTTGAACATTTTTTTAAGTGTTCCATGGGTAGGTCAAAGACTGCAATTAGTTCTTTCATATTTAATGGACTAATTTCAGGTGTTGTTGCCCTAAGGTTTTGACTGAACAATGCCAATATCAAAGTCAATCCTACAAATTGATTGGCTGCCTATGTTTTGCATAATCTTTTGGCATATTTTCAAAACTGAATCAGACATAAAATTGCCCAATCCATGTCCCAAACCCACAAAGTTCCCACGATGATACCTACATTTCTGTGGTTTTGTCGTAGTTTTGTCATGAAACCACAGACCCACAGCAAGCAACAACAAAAAACAAATTTGCAAACCCTAAGCTGGGAGAAGTAGCAGAAGGTTAGGTCCTGCCACTTTTTTGTTCTGCCAGCCCTTCAGAAGAAACAAGGAACCAAAAAGACAAGAAACCAAAAAAACAAACAGAACAATAAAACAAAAATATGACGGGACCCAATTCTCTGCATCTTTCCCCGTTTTGGGTGTGCAATTTGTTTTGTTTCTTTGTTTTTTGGTTTCTTGGATTGGTGTTCTTTTTTGGTGGGGTTTCTGGGTTTCTTGTTTGTTTGTTTTTGTTCTTTTTGGGGTGTTGTATGCTGCAAAAAGGAAAGAAGATGCAAAGGCGAGACTGCAAAGAACAAATTAATCCATTGCAGGTGTAAAAAACACAAAAAAAAACATTCTCAGGCTGTCTCCTTCCGTTTTGTAGACCGCACGGCATTTTTTCTGTAATCTGGACGCTTAATC